ATTCAACAATACCAAAATTTCTACAATTCCCAAATTTCAACAACTTCAATCCAGCAATTCCCAAATTTCAGCCATTTCAATCCATTAATACCCAAACTTCAGCAACTTCTACTCAACAATACCTAAATTTCAACAATTTCAATCCAACAATTTCAATCCAGTAATACCCAAACTTCAGCAACTTCTACTCAACAATACCCAAATTTCAATAAACAATCAACTAAATGTCAATTCATAACAGTCACAGAGGCAGAGTGACTAACCAGTAAGGCAGTAACTAGAGAAGGCTGAAGCGTGAAGCCGTGTACCTAAATTTTAATTCACCTCTGCAAGGATGGAAAACACAAAATAGAAACAATCATCAAATGATTGAACAAAACAATCAACTCAAATTTCAATTTTCAATAGTACATAAAGGCTAAAGCTGTGTATTACTTACGGGTGCTAGCGATTCGCCGATTTCAATTGTGAAATGGACTAACGGAGGGCCCTAGTGGTCGGGGCAGGAGGCTGGAGGTGAGGCGGAGTAGGGGGTGGGAATGTAAGTGGAGTGGAGGCTTTAGGCTTGGAGCAAATGGGTCACGCAGGGGCTGAAATGGATCTCAGTGAAGTGGAGGCTAAAATGGAGACTCCTGGCTTGGTTTTTGTCTTCAATTGGAAGTCTAGAACTGGTCCAACAAGATGCGGCTGCTCAAACAAAGAAGGGGGAGAAGAGAAGAAGAGAAGAACGTCGATCGGTGGGAGCAGGTTTGGAGATTGGGAAGTGATTCGGTGGGAAGGATTGGGCTACTGGGCTTGGAGCTTCTGGGCGACTGGACTGGGCTTGGGTAGGAAGGAGAAAATATGACAATTTTTTGGGCTTAGAAGCTAGAGCCTGGGTTCTAACTAAAAAAAATAAAATAATAAGCCCAAATTTTCGAGCCCAGAAGTTCAGTGTGGGCCTGTGCCCACACTGGACCATACTGGGCTTCGCCCCTGGGAACAGTGTGTGCTTTTTGAATGAAAGAGAGAAATTGTGGCCGCCTCTTACTGCCTCTTCCTCGTGCTCTCTGCCTTGCCTTTCTCTCTGTCTTTGTGGCTCCTTTTGCAAACACCACCATCTTGTGTTCTTGTGGGTATATTAGAAGTGGCAACCAAAGAATTATAATATTAGTTGTTGGGTTGGAAAAATTGGTTGATTGTGTTTGATATTGGTAAGTTGAATTGAGCTCGGATTCCACAAAAGGTCCATTCTGCTACATGAACTGTACAGTAATACATAATATAAAGAAACATAGAAATGGAAGGGAAGGGAAGTGAGTAAGCAGGCTCATTTAATTTTTGATTCGACACAGTCTAAGGATATTTTCTTTTCCGTTCTACCATTCCTAACAAAGGAAATAATGGAGTAAGGATACAAACGCCTCTTTTAGCTTATTCAGATGGTTTAGTTTTGCTAAGTTTGGAAAATCTAAAGAGCAACTAGCCACGAAGCTCATCTAGGGTTTCCGACAAAGGGCATTTCATTTAATTTTACCCCAAAAAGGTAGACAGTATGGATTCGATGAATTCACATTTTGGTTTAACTTCAATATAACTAGTCTAACTATCAAACCCCTGCAATAGTCTTGTGCAAAACTCCTAGATTATGGATAATGGGGAAATAGTAAAATGGCAAGGAATTGAAGAAAATGGAGACGGAGATGACGGGGTTAAAAGATTGCTAAGGAATTATTTCGGTGGTCAGCAGTTGGTTCGGGTTTATGGCATTCGACCCATATCCACCACGACCCAATGCGACTCGACTGAAATGAGCCTGTATGTTTTGGATTAAAATCTGATTTTAATCTAAGTCAAAGTTAAACAATCAATATTAACCACATCTTTCATGAACCCTACAACTTTTCAACCACATATTTCAAAAACTCCTATCACAATCTATTAAAAATCTAATTTCAATCCCAATCAAATACCCTCATAATAAGTTGGCTCTTGTCCAATTCGGTTACAACACTCCATATGTAAAATTTTTACCAATATTCAGTTTAATCCAATTCTCACCATGTTTACCCTAGTTTTCATGGCATTTGAAAGTTACTCGTCAATATTTCTTTCTCAACAAATAACGCAAATATTTTCAGAATGTTATGGCCTTAACTTTCATCAGAGCTACATAACACAACAAAAGCATTTTACTAGAGTTCGACAAAATCAACCGTAGCAAAAAATTTGCACCAAAACATGAAGACATTTCATGCATTTAGCATATGAGTTCACTGGATTCATACCAGCATAATAAAATGTCCCCATTTTCGAAGTTAATTCTCAGAAGACTTCATGGGATCTTTTGGATCAATCTCCGCTACAAGTGGGAGATCAACTGGTAGAGTCTCCAGACTCAGGCCTACTCCCGTTAGTCCGACAATTATGTCCTCAAATACCACCACTCAATTATGGCATAATTAGTTTTTTTTTTTTTTTAAAGTTATACTTTAGATTTTCAATTTTTGTAGTAGCCACTGTTAAGATTTGGAGTTCTATCTGAAAATGTCAACATTATTAAGAGGGGTAACTCAATCTTTTATAAGTTGCTTTATATTTACATCTTTATTCGATTTGAGATTCTATCTCTTAACATGTTCCCACAAGATGGTGGTTCGTTTGAGCAGATCAATCTTGAAATTCGTATTGCTCACTTTTGGAGTCTTGACCGGATCAAATTGTTCGTTAAAGCTAATGGGCTCTGATACCATGTTAAGATTTAAGATTACATCTTAAACGATCAACCTTATTAAGAGGATTAAGGTTGACATTTTAAGATGGAACCCCAAATCTTAATAGTCATTGCTTTGAATCTTGATCCTCTACAATTTTTGGCCCCATATTTTGGATGCATCATGGGAGAGTATTTCAGGGATGATAAAATTGACATGGTGATATTCTACAACGATCTTAATAATCATGCCATGACATTATATTGTTATACCGACCACTAGGTCATAAGGCATTTGGAAGGGATGATAAAATTGCAATCAATTCTATGTTATCTTTATATTCCCCTTGGTACACCCCATATTCATTCCTTATGTTTCGGTTTGTCAGTATCAAGATTTACGTGATTTTGCTACTAAAGAGGTCCCAAATGACAAGAGTAAAGGAAAATGAGTGAGTGAGTGATGGGAGGAGAAATAGAGTAAAAATATATTGAGATCGTGACAAAAAAACAAAAAAAGGCCATTTTACACTGTCTCCCTCTAACTTGTCTTGGATCTCTTAATGAGATTTTACAAAACATTAATTTTTCTTTTCACAATAATATTGAAAGCACAAGATGTCCTGGCTAAACATCCCAAATTATTGATTCACAAGGATAATCATGAATTTTGATTAAATTATTAATGATAATTAATTAAATATGAATCACCAAACAAGTGTAAGGAGAAATAGAAGCAGAACGCATAAAATAAAAATAATACAGTTTTATAAAGAATATTAAATTAATGTTTTATTATTAGTTTGAATAATTGGGATAGATGATTGCACAATTATTGGTAGATAGGAACAACCAGCCTCCACTAATATCATTATCAACACAGAATACTGATAATTATTTTTATGATGCAGGTTGTTGTGCAATAATATTCGAATGGAAACAGCAAAAAATAAAAGTAATTATTATTATGTTTGTTTGGTGGTTCGAACCCTGCTGCTATCACACAGCAAAATAAACAATTGCCACATTTTAAAAGGAACACGAGAATATGGTCCCGGCGGGGCTCGAACCCGCGACCTTCGGCTCATAAGACCAACGCTCTAACCAACTGAGCTACGGGACCTTCGTTATTAATAAAGAATTGAGTATTTATTTATTCTATATTTACTTTGAATACTATTCTCATTTTTACCATCTTTTCCTGAAAAAAGACGCAGTGTCAAATTACTAGCTTGTTTGTTTCAATTTTTTTGTTTCAAAGTAGAAGAAGTTGGACCATTGCTTTTCTACAACCCATTTTTTTATTGGATTCATTTGACTAACATGATATTTCATTGCAACATTTAGCGACTGTCTGGTTCCGATTAAAAGCTTCCAAAATTGGCTTTTTTTTACCGTTTTCCTTCAAATGGTGGGGCCCGCTGTGATTAAACAAAGTAAAAAATGGTGGGCATTTCACTGTTGCAACGGCACAAATTCGGATTATAATTGGAACCAGACAGGGCCTTATTGTTTTCTTCTTCACTTCCCCTACCCTGCAAGTTCTTCAAAAACGCTACTTTTTACTACTCCTCGCTATTAGACAAAAGAATGGACATAAAAGGAATTGCAAAAATGGCAATTACAGATATTCAAACCAATGACATAAATAGTGGTACCCATGTGATGCAAAAATGAATTCTACAATTTCTGTGGGAATCATTTGATATTTACGTTTTAGGATGAGATAAAGATAATTATGGCTTGTACGTCCTATCTAAAAATAAATTCACCGTTGAAAAGATCACGCATCATGTTTCCAAGTGCCCAATTTCAAATTTTGTAGTTCTCGTTTAAATGATTTAGTTTAATTTTGTTCTCTATCGTCTAAGAAAATTATGTTTTAACTTTTGACATAAAACATAAATTAATTAAACATTTGCCTTATTCTTAGTCATGCACTTGAGAAACCTTAACCATCGTATTCTTGATAATTAGGCCTTTATGTCCAGACAAAAAATTGTATACTAAATAGACAAGTGTGAGGCAACGCCTCTATTTCTCCTCAGTTTTGTTCTCGAAGGAAGTTGAGGTTGTTACATAATGCAGCACCTCCTATTCAGTTCCTCAACAAGAACGTAAAAATGGAAAATGACAAAATTACTTGAATCAAAAACTCATATAATTAAAAAATAACTAGGATCGTCGACTTCTTTTCTTCAGACCTTTCATTGTGCATAAACAGTTGACAGCAAATAAGTTACTGCTTGTGCTTCTCAAGAATTGAAAAAATTCCCTCTAACCAGGCAAACAAAAATCAAGTCCATTCTTAAGCAGCTTTGAAGCTTTGTGGCAAGAGTTCGTAGTATCGGATTTGCTGCAACCAAATCAATGACAAGTTTGAGATATGAGTTGTTTTCCTTTATGTATCTTACAAGAACACAATCAAGCATGATGAAATTCATACCGCGTTTGAAACAGATGGAGTTATTTTCTCCAGTGCCCGCTTGAAGTGTATTTCTTTGATGATCCATGGTGCACCATCTGAAATCTCATTCCTCGAACTCTGTTTATCCTCAATAGCTAACATAGCAGCTTCATTCATCTAGCATAAATAAGAAGAGCAAATCTTGAGATTGATCATGATAAGGTATGAGCATTTACGTCAAGAAAAAAGAAATAAAATGCAACCCCCATTTTCTCACTCGAGCCACATTCAAGTCCTATCAATTTTCTTTAGGATGACTTATTTATACTACCCAAAATATCTTGGAACTGTAAAATGCAATTTCTCGCCAACTTCGTCATGTGCACTTAACTTAACTAATTATGAACCTCCTATCTACTTCCAATTGTTTATTTTAATTGAATATTAATAGTAATCAAGACCAATTTTGCTAAAATATCGTAACCATTTGCAGAAAATAATCAAGTACAGACAAACCAGAGCAGAGAGGTCGGCTCCACTAAAATTTTTACAAGCATCACTGCTTCCAATTGCCATCAAGTCCACATTTGCATCTATACGCTTGTTACTACCAAGAGCTGTCAAGATTAAACCGCGATCATGTGGACTGGGAAGAGGGACATATAGTGGTTTACCAAATCTTCCTGGTCGAAGGAGGGCACAGTCCATGACTTCAGGTCTGGCATTGTATTTTCAAGATCAGAGATGTTAAGGCACGATAGAAGAGTTTTAATCAGCAAATAATTATTCTTCTCTTGACCCCAGTAATTCCCGAACACAAATAACAATTTATACCTATTCGTGGCACCAATTACGTAAACACCTTTTCGCTGATCTGCACCATCTAGCTCTACCAGTAACTGCAGTGACATGGCTTTGATTTCAGTTCTATATCTAGTCATATACACAACAATGAAGGATATAATTAGGCAAGAAAGCATTTAGTAAGACATTTTACAAACCTGATTCAAGACCTGCCCAGCAACCCATCCCCCTTCTTGACCGCGTCTAGTTGTCAAAGCATCCACCTGACAAGATGTTGAACAACATCAGCACAATCCCAGTTTCCACCAAGTTCACCGAACAATGTCAATAATCACCAATTTCTGTTAGTTATAGTTTTATAAGTATACCTATATTCTGTGTAGACAGATTAGTTACAAGTTATCAAGGAACTATTAAAGGGATAGGATAGTAGGACTCTTGGCTTCTAGCAAGCTGTCTGAAGAAGGTGTACATGCAATTGGGAACCATCCTTGACAGATTTTGTTGTTCATGATTGCCTCCTAACACTCCCATTTAAGACATAAATAAAACGACGAGTTCCAAGGCCATAGTATTTTTGCATTGTCAGGGTTTTCTGAAATTTTGGTTTCTCAACATCCATGATGAGTTTGATGTCTATATATACTTGAACACAGTCAGAATCCAAGGAGTCTTATTACTGCACACTAATTTACAAAAGCATAACTTGCCATACCAAATCATTTGAGATTAAAAGTTGTTGCAGAAATAACAACGGGAAATAGAAAAGAAGCACCTCATCAAAAAAAAGGATGCACGGAGAACACATCCTAGCACGATTGAATATTGTCCGAACAGCCAACTCACTTTCACCAACATATTTACTGAGAAGTTCAGGGCCCTTGATAAACAACAAAAAATGTAAGAGAGCAATATAATTCATTATTGGCAAACAAAAATTAGTGAAGTAGCAACAGGTCTCAACCTTAATATGAATGAAATTTGCTCCTGATTCATTGGCAACCGCTTTGGCAATTAATGTTTTTCCACAACCCGGAGGACCATAAAGCAAAATTCCCGTCTCTAAATCCAAATCCTGTAAATTAACCAATTAATTTCAAACCCCTAAACTTGGGATATTCAATTACCATTGGAAAAGTGGATGAATTCTCGACAAAATGTCTACACAGGAAAAAATTACAAGGAATGAAAGAGATGGTTACTGCACAAAAAGTGAAGTGACTAAGTTGAAGTGCCAAGAATCTCATACATATGCAAAGAAAATTGAATTGTCCTTGAAGGATTTCCAAGAGTGTCCATTCTTGCTTAGCAAAAAACTTTCTTGAGAAACTCAATTTTATTGAGTGATGGAACTTTTTGGGAAGCATTGCCCCTCAACTTAATGAAATTTCTTCTAGATTTTAATACCCACCACAAAATTTGATTAGAACATGCACCAAAACATGTAAATATGCAAGCTGTGGCAAAATATATATTTGGGTGACCCCATGAAAAACAACCAAGATCCTGTTCATTTCAAATGTGCCTCAAAATCTATTAACAGCACTATATGATCAATTAACAAATGAAATTTAACAGTAACAATCACCTCATAATCTTTGGGATACTTAATCCGCCTAACTATGTCACGGTCAAAAACTTCTCTCAGTAATTGAAGTCCACCAACATCCTCCCACTTTACACTTGGAATTGCAGAAAATCCTTCTCTTCTAGATGAAGGTTGAACCATTTTAGCAGCTTTCTACATACAAGTCGCAGCATCGATGTGTTTAGCAACTAATTGAAATGATGAAAATGGGTTGGGGTGATCACATAAAGCACAATATCAGAAATTGAAAGGTAAGGAAGAAGGAACCAGAAACAATTAGAAAGGAAAGGAAAATAGACTGAACTCTACAGACATGCTTTCCCACGTTAACTATATGTAATTAACATTACAAGGATGAAAGAGATTTTGCTAAAAGTTTCCAAGATGCATAACCTATTTACACTGAAAACCTATTAACATGACACCAGATGCAATAAGACATTAAATTATATTCTAGAAACAAAGAGGCTACAGATTCAAGGGTAAAGAGAAACCAAGATCTAGCCATCAAAAAAAAATGGTATATCAGACACAATGGTATCAAGACAAATAATCAAATGCAACATCTATATCCGTCCATGACCAAAAATAAAATTGAATTACACTTGGAATTTGAATGACATAACCAAGAAACAATACATATTAATTATAGAACTAAACAAAGTATAAATTATAACTAAATAAAACAAAATCCACTTTGATAAAGTTTGATAACAAAAGCAGGTGAACAGAGGTAGGAAAGAAAAGACATAGAACGTCAATATACATTCACAATTTTCCACTTCCATTTCCATTTAAAGCTTAGTTTGATAACAAAAGCAGGTGAACAGGGGTAGGAAAGAAAAGAAAAGGCATAGAACGTCAATATACATTCATAGTTTTCCATTTCCATTTAAAGCTTGCTTTCCACATTACCTCAAAATCATCCATTGTGACGCTGAGGTTTTCTATTTCTTCTGGTAAGAAAGGTTGTTTCCACCATTTTTCACTAGGCTCCCCTTTACAAACCTCAGCCTTTCGTTCGCATGCCATCCGATTCATGGCTAGAATGCCAGCCATTTTAGTAAGTGCTGCCAAGTCAGCTCCAACAAACCCTGGAGTGGACTTAGCTATCTTCAGAAGATCAAAAGCACCTTCAACTTTAAAATTTTGAGTGAGGACAGACAAAATATCAACCCTTGCACTTTCGTCCGGAACACCGATATAAATCTCACGGTCAAACCGTCCAGGCCTCCTTAATGCAGGATCAATAGCATCAGGCCTATTTGTTGCTCCAATTACGAGTACATACCCAGGCCTACAATCCGAACTCTCAGCAGTCCCACTTCTGGATACGGGTTTGACAATTCTCGATGACTCATCCATGCATGACATCAATTGTGTCACAATTCGTTGCTCCATTACCCTATTCGAAATTTCCCGTTTAGTAGCTATCGCATCAATCTCATCTATGAACACAATGGATGGGGCTGTCCTGTGGGCCTTAGTAAATAGATCTCTTATATTTTCTTCTGATGTGCCTGAAACATTCAGCAAATAAAGCATCTCAGCAAGCTTGAAAATTGTGTGAACAAGGGCAGGAACAAAACCAAGTCCATAATTGAACACCACACATAATAGAGAAAAACTGAAATTGGGCAAATTGTTGCACTAGCAGCATATAGGATGATAAGATTACATAAAATTATACACATGATTCTCTGTCTACCATGTCATCACTGGAAGTAAAAACTCATGATAAAAATTTGATATCAAATAAACAAGGGGATACACATCACATGGAATATGAGTTGAAGGGCAGAAACCTACAACAAGATACAATTTTACCTGAAACTCCAGACACCAATTCGGTAGCACATATCTTATAAAAGGGAAAACCGGCCTCATTGGCAAGGGCATTGGCTAGCTTAGTTTTCCCACACCCAGGTGGCCCGTGCAACAAGATCCCTGACATCGGTTCCACTCCAATGCTTCGTAGCACATGTGAGTTATAATATGGAAAAATCACCTCGTTTTCCAACTTCTCCAACACTTCACTCATCCCCCCCAAATCCTTAAACAGTGGTCCATTGGAGTTATTTTCCCGAATGTCACTACTTTTGTTATTGATAAAAGACAAACCATTACCTCCAGTTTTAGGCCTCTCGTTCATCAAATTTACCTCCTTGCCCTCGTTAGTCACAACTTCCATTTCCATCTCCTCCTTGTTTTCTACCTCTTTCCCCATTTTCTTTGATTTTTCATTATAATTATCACGTAGCATCGACTTTATCAAATCAAACTTTGGCTCAGATTTATCCTCATAAATAGCATCCTCCGTACAAGTATCTTCCTCTGATGAGTTGTTCGATTCAGATTCCGAAGTACTAGTGCTAGCAGCTGATGCCATCGAGGATGACGAGCCAATATCATTCTCAAAATCATCATTAATTCTCCCAGCCCTCATTTTATTATAATGGTTTTCTATGAGTCGCGTTTTCTCTTCATCTTCCTCAACTTTCTTTAGCCTCTTTCTTCTCGAAGGAATCCCTTCCTCATCATATTCTTCATTATTACGATCATCCATATCTTCGAGTATTTGCTGAACCCCTTTAGTGAAAGGCTGGAGCTTGTGGCGTTCATACTCTCGATAGGTGAAGCGAAGATATTCCACCAATTGATCGACGGAAGCGTGTTTCTTCCCGCTCAACTCGATGCGCCGACGGAGGAGACGATCGAATCCTCCGCCTGCTGGTGGCCGTGGTCTTCTTCTTACAAAATTCAGCTTTCGTTTCTGTTTCGGAGTCATTGCTTTCCCCGACACAACAAAATACCCGGTCTAGGGTTTAGAAGTAAGTATAGGCTTTATAAGGGCCATTTCGGACGGCCCAATGTTGGGCCGTCGGTAACAAACGGCCCAATAACAACCGTCTTGGCTCTAGTCCATCTATTACATACGGCCCAATATCCTGTTGGGCAGTCAGTTACAGACTGCCCACAGCCGGTTTTCTGGGCCATAAATTGAGGCCCACTGTTGGGCCGGCCTCAATTTTAATTATTTGAAATAAATAATTTTAAAAAATTAAAAAATATTTAAATAAATAATTTTAAATTGGTAATTACGAAAATGAAATATTATTGCTTTAACAAAAAAGAAAATTCCTAAAATTTTTCCTTTTTAATATTTTAATTGAATAATAATTATATATTGATTACTTAATTTTAAAAAATTCTTTAAAATGAAATAATTTTTTTTTAAAATTAACTAATTACACAAAAAGGAAAATTCTTAAATTTTTTTCTTTTTAATATTTTAAT